CCCTCCCCCCTGTCCTCCTCCTCCCCTCCCCTGTCCCCCCAGGGCGCGGGGACGGGCGGGCGGCTCTTACTGCGCCAGCCTGGCGTTGTCGTTGTCGTCTTTCCCCCACTCCCAGTCCTTCCCCGGGTCCACAGCGAAGTGCAGCGGTAGCAGCTTGTGTTCCGAGTCCGTCAGGGGGATCACGGCTGCAAGAGAGGAGACACGCGTGGTGCCCAGGGCCAGCTGGGAGACGGGGGGGGGGGTCCCCGGGAGACAGGCGGGGGGGGGGGAGCTGGAGCTGGAGACCACAGGCTTCCCAAGTGGTAGTTACAACGGGGAGCTTTTTTATTTTTTTGCTCAGGGCTGGTTGCTCTGCACACCCCCCCCCTTCCAGCCTTTTGCTGGTTAACCCGAGATGAAAGTCTCATGGATTCCTCCCCCCTCCCTTTGAACTGCCATCCTCAGGTCTCAGCCTCTGGGGTAGCTAGGATTCCAGGTGAGAGCCACCAGCCCCCTGCTAGAACTGCGATGATATCTCCAAGAGGCTTCATCTGGACCCTGGGTATCTTTGGATCTGCTGGAGGGCGGGTGCCCTTCTAGGCATCTGCCTGTTATTTCTAAGGTGCGTGCATGCGTGCGTGTGTGTGTGTGTGTGTGTGTTGCACTGGGCCCGAGCACTTTGCCCCCTGTGCGTGGCCTGCTCCCCTGCCCAGGGCCGTCAGTGCCTGGGAACTGGCAGCTACCCACCAAGAGGAAACTCAGCGGTGCTGGAAACAGATCAGTGGTTTAACCAACATGTCCAAAAGCCAGGGAAGGAAGGGAAAACAAGAGGCAGGGGAGGTGTCCTGCAGGTGTCTGCTAGGAGCCCCTGAGCTGATGTGGGACCCAGGAAGCGGGCGGGGCAGAGTCCCTAATGTCTGCTGGACTCCTTCTAAGGGCGCTGTCAGGAGTCAGCACGAAGAAGAACCCCCAATACAGCCTCCTTCTTGGGGGCTTCCACCCTCCCTCCTGACAGGGAGAACTCCCAACACTGCCTTGTCTGCTAAGAAAACTGAACATTTGACTCAATGCTGCCCTCTAGTGTCACTCAAGAGAAATAGCACAAATGACCTTTTCCCTCCCCCATCCTCACCCCAAATGAGGTCAGCCAGAGCAGTGCAGGATCGGGTTGGGGGAGGCTCTGCCTGGAATGGACACACCCAGAGAAGCCTGCAGGGCCAGCTCGGGGGCCGGCTGCCCTGGGGTGATGTCCAGGAGTCTGTCCCGTGGTTCCACGAGTCACTACACAATCATGGAGGGCTGGGCCTGGCTGCCCACCCTCGAGTCGGGGTGGGTGAGGCAGAGGCTTCCCTTCCCTGTTCACTGTGGCCCACGTGCTAGATCAGCACAGCTCCCTAAGTCTGCAAGGACTACTCTGAGAGTCCGGGATGAAGACCCAAGAATTAACATTCCAAATACCCATCTCTGGTCACTCTGAAAACAATCAGGCAGTGTTAGACTGCAATAATCTGTTGGAGGCAGTTCTTGGGGGGGGGGCAATGTGGGCAGTTCAGGTCTGGCTGTCAACCTCCTTCGGGGGTTGAGCTGTGACTGCACCCTCCCTCCCCCTGCACCCTGGCATCTGTACCCAGGGGCTGTGACGTGGGAAGGTGGTGGGGCGTGGCTAGGGCTGAGGATACTCGCCCCTCCTCCCCTTCTCCATCTGTGCTGCCTAGAGAAGAAGGTGGCGACAAGGCGACATGCGTGGGTCTCGGATCCCTGAGGGGAGAGGAGCTGCCTGTCAGCCGGGAACACTGGTAACAGACATTTATCTGCGTTAGAACCCAACCTCTTCTGTATGAGGTAATGATCTGTTCCCGTTTTGATTTGTTCCTGATAAACTAGGCCATCTCCACACCCTCATCTTCCTCACCTCCCTGCTCAAGGGGCTCAGGGGAATTCTGGGCCTCAGTTGCTGTGCTGGAACCGAGGTGCTGCTGGTCTCAGCAACCAGGAGGTGGTGAAATACGTTCAGGTGCTAGTGCCTGCCACCTCCAGGGGTCCCCGCTACCTCTCAGGCCCTGGGCAAGATGCTAGAGGTATCTGTTGGAAACTGGTTACACTCAAGAGATAAAACCAAAGCTTTCTGGGCTGGGAAGGTGGCTCAGTGGTAGAGTGCTTGCCTCGCATGCCTGAGGCCCTGGGTTCGATTCCTCAGCACCACATAAGCAGAAAAAGCCAGAAGTGGCTCAAATGGTAGAGTGCTAGCCTTGAGTTGAAGAGCTGAAGGACAGCACCCAGGCCCAGAGTTCAGAACCCATGACCAACAGAGCTTTCTTAGCTGGGTGCTGGTGGCTCACTCCTGTAATCCTAGCTATTCACAAGATATACTGAGATCTAAGGATTGAGGTTTGAAGCCAGCCTAGACAGGAAAGTCTGTGAGAATCTTATCTCTAATTAATTACCAAAAAGCCAGAAGAAGATGCGTGGTTCAAGTGGTAGCGCTCTAATCTTGAGCAAAAAAGCTCAGGGATAGTGCCCAGGCCCTTAGTTCAGGCCCCAGGACAAACAGACAGAAACACACACACACACACACACACACACACCACCACCACCACCAACAACAACAACAACAATAACAGAAAACCACAAAGAGCCGGATACCAGTGGCTCATGCCTGTAATCCTAGCGACACAGGAGGCTAAAATATGAGGATCGCAGTTCAAAGCCAGCTGGGGCAGGAAAGTCTGTGTAATTCTTATCTCCAATGAACCACCAGAAAACTGGAAGTGGTGCTGTGACTCACAGTGGTAGAGTGCTAGCCTAGAGCAAAAAAGCTCAGGAACAGTGCCCAGGCCCAATGTTCAAGCCCCATGTTGACAACCCCCCCCCCCCCAAAGCCTTCTAATCTCTGCAGAAGGCAAGCTCTTTGCCAGTTGGAGGGCTCCAAGGACCTGTACTAGGGAGGATGCATGCTAGGGAGACCCCCCAAGCAGGCTTTCCTCATAAGTATTGATTTCACTGAGCATTTCTGTCATTCAGGGTGCAAGGTGAAGATCCCCATTGGAAACCTGGCCTCACCCAGGGAGAGGTATAGCCAAGTGGCAGACTGCCCTCTGGTGGCAGCTATTAAGAATAGCAGATGCTTTCAAGAGTTTTGTTTCTTTTCTTTCTTTTTCTTTTCTTTTTTGGTCTCTCTGGTATCTTTTCGCCCCGGAAACATATAGGCACAATTTCAACCTAGCTTGAACATAGTCTGAATACTTATTTTCTGAAGAAGAAAGAGCATTTTTGTGTGAGACATGTCACCATTACAAGGCAAATTCACAGCTTGTCTTAAACAGACCAGAGAACAGAGGCTCCAACATAATTCAGCTAGCTCAAAAATCTAAGGACAGGCAGATGCTTTCAAGGAGAGACAGACATGAGCTTAAGGGGGTGGGGTGGGGAACTCAGCTAGAGGTCTGGAGGAAGAATTCAGCTAAAATAGCTGAACTTGTAAAGGAAGAATGTGGGCCACTGAGACAATATAGACCCTGGCGAGTTAAGACATAAGAAACTTGCATGCCCTGTCCCTGGGCCTCACCTGCTGTTCACAAAGAAGATGGACAAGAACTCTATGAGAATGTCTCTCAGGTTCTTGTCCTCTGCAGTAAGGAAGGAAAGCTTCCGGGGCAGAGGTTGAGCTACAGGCACCAAGTTCATTGGGACAGTGTTCTCTTACTGGTCTGATGAAGCACATCTGTCTGTCTTAGACAGGTGTAGTATCTCTATCCCTTAGGAAGGATGACATCCTGCAGCTGTCTTGACTAGACTGATTCATACCTGGACACTAAAAGCCAAATAATAGGTGTGTGTGTATGTGTGTGTGTGTTTGTTTGTGTGTGTGTGTGTGTGTGTGTGAGTAAGAGAGAGAGAGAGAGTATTCGCAGGAGTAAAAGCGATTTACACCTCAGTCTTACTATCTTTTAAGATGGTGACTAGCTTTCAAAACAACAACAACAAAAAACTATGAGGAATAAGAACGGAAATATATAAAACACAACGCATTGATAAGACACAAAGCAGTGGACAGATTGAACTTCAGATGTGACACAGGTGTTGAAATGATGGGGCAGACAATTAAAAATAACCAACAGAGCTGGGCACCAGTGGCTCACGCCTATAATCCTAGCTACTCAGGAGGCTGAGATCTGAGGATCGTCATTCGAAGCCAGCCAGGGCAGAAAAGTCTATGAGACTCTTATCTCCAATTAGCCACCAGAAAGCCAGAAGTGGTGCTGTGGCTCAAGTGGTAGAGTGCTCGCCTTGAACTGAAGAACTCAGGGAAAGCACCCAGGCCGAGTTCAAGCCCTACAACCAACAACAACAACAACAACAACAACAACAAAAATCCCGAACAAAAAGTAACCAACTGGTAAGTTAGAAGCTGACAGACAAGGTGGATGCCATGGAGGATTTGATGGTTGGTTGCAGCAGAGAGGGGAAATCTCTTACAAGAGAATCAAATGTGAGAAATGAAAATCTAACACAACAGAGCCTAAGAATGGCTCTGAGGGGTTGATCATTGACTTCCCACAGCTCAGTAAAGAATCTGTGAACATCAGGATGGGTCAATGGAACTCACCCAAACTGAAATACCAAGAGGAAGAAACAAGAGCTGAGGGCAATGACCAAGAGCCTAAGATCTGTGTGAATGTAGTCCCAGAAGAAGTGTGAGAAAACAAGACAGGAGAAATGCTCAAATTAAGAATGACCTACAGCCTGGTGCTGGTGGCTCACCCCTGTCATCCTAGCTACTCAGGAAGCTAAGATCAGAAGATCACAGTTCAAAGCCAGCCCAGCCAAGAAAGTCCATGAGACTCTTATCTCCAATAAACCGCTTAGAAAACTGGAGTGGCGCTGTGGCTGAAGCGGTAGAGCAGCGCCCAGGCCCAGAGTTCAAGCCCCATGACTGACAAAAAAAAAAAAAAAAGGAATAACCTAGGAATTTCCAAAATTACGTAGCTCACATCATGGGTCTAGAAGCTAAGGAAACACCAAATATGTAAAATAACAATAAGATATCTTTATGCATAGCATCTTAAACCTTGTGAAAACCAAAGACAAATAGAGAACATTGAAGACAGAAAAAAAAGACACATACAGGCAAACAAAGGTAAGTACAAGAGACTGTGGTGTGTGTGTGTGTGGTGTGGTAAAGTAGGTGAGACAGAAGATACCAGTCTCTTAAGGGATAAACGCAAAGCCTGCTGATTAAGAATCTTATACTCATCCAAGATGTATGAAAAAGCTTTTATGAAGGAGACATAGAAAGTGTAAATGTTTTCTCTTACACATACATATATATGTAAGCATATTCAGGGTCATATATATCTATACATAATTATATACATACACAAACGTTAATTGAAGTATGGTATATGCATGCGGGTGAGGATTCTAATAGTGTAACGCCTTTGAACAACTAAGAGTTTGACAAAATGAATATCAGGAAGCTGGAATATGTGTTGGTGGTGGGAGGGGAGGAGAAGGGAGGGAGGAGATGAATGGAGAGAGGGAAGGTGGGCAAAAATGGTCATAATATTCAATGTACACAGGTGAAAATGGTATTAGGAAAATTTGAGGGACTGGGTGGGGTCGGGACATTGATCAAGATGCATTGTACTCACAAACTCGTGCTGAATTCAAACTCCTCTGTACAACTACTTAAAGATAATAACACGTTAATAAAAAGCTTTCTCAAACAAAAATGAGTACGTTAATTCCTGTCAACTTACAGTAGAGGAAATGTTAAGGAGAAAATTCTTCAGGTAGAAGGATTATGGTACCAGTTGAAACTTAAATGTTACATAATTAAGGATGATGGAAACGGCTGGGTACCAGCGGCTTTGTAATCCCAGCTACTGAGATCTGAGGATCCTGGTTCCAAGCCAGCCTGGGCAGAAAAGTCCAGGAGACTCTTCTCATCAATCAACCACCCCAAAGCCAGAAGTGGAGCTGTGGCTCCACCGATGGAGTGCTAGCTGATACCCTCTCCCTGACAAAAAAAGCCCCAAGTAAAGTTCAAGGCCCAGTACCAGAACAAACAAAAGGACAAAATACACACCCACATATATGTGAAAGGGAGCAGATAGTGAAGTCTCTGAGTGGTGGACTCTCTTGTTTGGTACTCAGATGAAACCTTGTTGTGGACGCTGTTATTTATAGAGAAAACATTTGCAGGGGCTGGGAAGGGGGCTCAGTGGTAGCGCGCTTGCCTTGAGCTGAAGAGCTGAGGGACAGCGCCCAGGCCCAGAGTGCAGGCCCCACGACCGGACCCAGAAATAAAAATCTGCCGGGCGCTGGTGGCTCACGCCTGTAATCCTAGCTACTCAGGAGGCTGCGATCTGAGGATCGCGGTTCAAAGCCAGCCCGGGCAGGAGAGACCGTGAGACTCTTATCTCCAATAAACCACCAGAAAACCGGAAGGGGCGCTGTAGCTCAAGTGGTAGAGTGCTCGCCTTGAGCTGAAGAGCTGAGGGACAGCGCCCAGGCCCAGAGTTCAAGCCCCACAGCCAACCAAAAAAAAAAAAAAAACCCATTTGCACGCACACGCACACACACACACACACACAGAGTCATTTCATGCAAGACCCACGATTGCTGGGCGTACAGTGTGTACACAGCTGTGCACCTGGAGGCAGTTGGCCGAGTCCCACTTCCTGTCCTCCTCCTCCGCCCTTCCCAGGACCCGGCCCCACCCTGTCCCTGCCTCTCAGGAGCCAGGTTGTACCTTGTTCTCGTTGCTGGTCTCTCTGCTCCATGGACACGAGGGCTGAGAAATGTGCTTGATCGTAGGCCAGGACCAGAGGGGAGCAGTGGCATCGGTTTGGGGGCACCTCCAAGGGCAGGTAGATCCCTCCGAATGGGATGGGTGCAAATGCTGCCGACACAGTCAGGGGTGAGGGCGTGAGGAGGGACGCAGACCGTGGGAAGACCAGGGTGGGGGTGTTTCCATGGCAACCTATGCTGGGCTGGCCGGCTGCCCTGAGACTCACACAGAGCCCCCTGGTGGGGACAACACTGCCATCCAAGATGGCAGTGCACTGACGGGCATCGATGCCCTACCTGGAAATCTATGATTTCTGGGACCTATGTCTTTCTTAGGAGTCACTGAAATGTGTGCCAACAAAACTGTATGTATGCCGGGTGCCGGTGGTTCATGCCTGGGACCCTAGCTACTCAGGAGGCTGAGATAGGATCACAGTTCAAAGCCAGCCTGGGCAGGCCAGTCCGTGAGACTCTTATCTCCAATGAACCGCTCAGAAAACTGGAAGTGGTGCTGTGGCTCAAGTGGTAGAGTGCTAGACTTGAGCTGAAGAACTCAGGGACAGCACCCAGGCTCAGAGTTCAAGCCCCACAAGCGACAAAAAGACGACAACGAAATTGCATGTGTGCTGGGTGCTGGCGGTTCACGCCTATAATCCTAGCTACTCAGGAGGCTAAGATCTGAGGATCGCGGGTGTGTGTACATTAGGGGCCCGATTCCTGCAAGGCAGTCCCTGCTCTCACCAGAAGGATAAACGAACAAAAAGCAAAAACAAAGCAGAACAACCCCCCTCCCCCCGCTAACCCCCTCCCCCCGCTACCCCCCTCCTCACACCCAACCCATCACTACCACCAAGAAAAACCCCCAAACGCTTGGAATGATGGGAAAGATGCTCAGTGACCCTCTGGAGCTTAGGCGTCATGTGCTGCTAGCTGTTTTCTAAGAGGAACTTTCTTACCTTCTCCTCCTGAGTCCCTCAGCATTGTGTCTGCTACCACGACTATGGGACGTCTTAGTATGTGGGCTAAGACGAACACGTGGAACTCCTCCAGGCTCTCGTACACGGGATCCTCAGAGTTGTCCACACTAGGGAACAAAGCAGAGCAAGGCCATCATTGGTCCAGACCAGGAGGGGAAACACAGAGGACTCTGTAGAGGATCTGAGCTCTTCTTCCTCAGGATCCTATCTCCACAGTCCTGAGCAGCCATGTCAACCAAGGCCAGTAAACACACCATCTACCTACCCATGGTGAGTGCCAAGTCCTAGCTCCCTAGCTCTCTTCTAAGGCGGGATGGACTGGAGAGCGGTGAGGGTGAGGGCCGCCATTATGATGAATCTCTGTACGTAGCTCATCAGAGAGTGTGGCAGTTGGGGCAGGAGTGTTTCTCTGGGGTGTTTTAACAAGGGTACAGTGGGGCCTGGCAGGATGGAGTCTCTTCTCCTGCTCATCTCCACACTCCACAGCATAGACTGAAAGCATCAACCCTCAGGACTCCAGGATGCCAGGAGCATTAGAGTCTGACTGGCGGCATCCATGATCATGAATGCCTGAGGAGTCTTTCAGGAAATGCCCACATGGAAGGGCAGAGGAGGCCTGGATTTCAATCCTGAGAGGTGGAGGAAGGAAGTGGCTCGGAACGTGCGATCTGTCTATGCAGGCCCTCCCCTGCCTGGGTCCTCCTGGCTCCTGCTGGGGCTTAGGGAGAGAGAGGGATCGAGGAACTGCACCCACCCTCTCCGGGGACCCTGTCTTCCAGCCCAGGTCCGCCAGACACGAACATGAATGGAGTTCCTCTGGGAAATGCTGGGCTGCTTTAAGGATCTTTTGTTTTCATTGTGACTTGAAGCCACATTTTTAAATAAATAGGGGAAAACTCAAACCCAGCAGCCAGAGTCTTCAGAGCCTGGCGTGTACAATGGCGGTGTGGGCATGAGCAGTCCCAGGTCCCCTCCGGTGCCTGTGGAGCGTGGGCACGCTTGTCCTGAAGTGTGCTGCCACCTTGTTCAGAATGTAACACTTGGTATAAGAACACATGCCAGTCCCACAGTGTAGCGGGGCACCAGTGGCTCATGCCTGTAATCCCACCGATTCAAGAGGCTGAGGTCTGAGGATTGCAATTTGAAACCAGGTTGGACAGAAATGTTGGTGAGGCTCTTTTACTCCAAATAACCACCAAAAAGCTAGAAGTGAGGCTGTGGTTCAAGTGCTAGAGTGCTAGCCTTGAGTGAAAAAGCTAAGGAACAGTGCCCAGGCCCTGAGTTCAAGTCCCAGTCTGGTGCACATGCACATACACACACAAACAGAAAATGCTGCAATGCTAATACAAAGGGATGTTTGAAAGCTACAATCTTTCTGTCGTCTATACGTGGGGGGGGGAACCATGTTCTTACACCTCTTCTTTCAACATTGTTCTAGGCTGTAGGTGTCTAAAAGTTTGAGGTGTCCTTTGGGGAGCACAGAGGTAGTACTTACCCCCCTCCAGAGCCTCCGTTCTTGCTGAAGTGCGTCCGTGGCTCGCTGGATGCCAGCTTTAGTAGCTCAGTCCACTCTCGCTCCCACTCCTCTTCCGTGTACACCAGCCCTGACTGACGCAGAGGGAGATGGGCTCAGGAGGGGGCTGGCACTGCTAGACCTTACCATCCTCTCTCTTTCCCTTCCCAGGTAGTCACGGTGGATCACCTGCGCCGATCTAAGTCCCATTAGGACCCAGGATTGATGCATCTATCATTGATGGTTCCCTCCCTTGCTAGGACAGTGTGTTTTCAGAAGCCCCATTGAATTTCAGAATTGTTGTAAGTGTACCCATCCGCAGTGGGTCATTTCCGGGGGCATGGATGAGAGAATATTAGCTTGGGCGCTCAGATGCAATCCAGTGACCCAACCAATGGGAGAAGCACTGAAGAGAGGTGCACCCAGTAGGGAAAAGAATGAAGCAAATCTATTGGTTTATCCATCCATCCATCCATCCCTCCCTCCATCTATCCATTCCTCCACCCATCCATCCATCCATCCATCCACCCACCCACCCATCCATCCATCTGTCTATCCACTCATCCATCCATCCAAGCACCTGGCTGGGGGCTGACCAATGAACAGTTTACAGTGGCCAAGTTCAGGTAGAAAGCAAGCAGAACTTCTCCTAAGAAAGTAAAGGGCTAATGCCTACTCTGGTTAGGATGACCAGCATTCTCTCTCAACTGAGCTCACACACTGAGGCTGAGGGGGGGCCGATGGCTGTCACTGACAGAGCTCACCATACAATTCCTAATTACACCAGCATGGGAGGTGTCTACCAAGGCTACGTTGTGGCCACAGGACTCCTCTGACATGGGCTTCAGTGGAGGAAGGCCTTGCTCATCTCAGCTGAGGACAGACTGGGATTAAGAGAGAGACAAGCTCTGGACACCAGGGAGGCCAGAGGCTGCACCTGGTGAGGATCCCGGACTCCAGCCAGGCCAGCGGGCACCAACCTCCTTGTTCTGCTGCGTCTGCTGCCATCGCCACCTCCGCTTCAGGGCTTCCCGCTCAGCGCCCGTCCTCATCATGGTGTACAGAGCTTTCCGCAAAACCAGGTCCCGGTCATGAAAACCCCACATCCCTGCAGCCAGAAGCCATGACAGAAGAGAGAGACGGGGGTGGGGGAGGGAAGGGGTTATGAAGAATGGGCAAGTCTGGGCCGGTCGGGCTGGCCTGCTGTATCTGTACACTAACACTGGATCGCAGCATTAGTGAGCTGTTTAGTTCTCATTGCTAGATTGCAATGAGGCAGTGCCTCCCTTTCCTAGCAGAACAATATCGGACAAGACAGCTGCTGCTTCGCTCTGAGACCTGTGGCTACCCACTCCCGCTATGCCAGCTTGCTTTGAGAGATGCTATGCTCTCCGTGCAGGTCTTGTGTCTGGGTGACAGACTGCCTCTGGGGACACGTTGATGACATGCTCTCATGTAATGCTCCACTCCAGGATTGCCACTGGCACCCTGGCTTCCTCCAAGGACTGAGGATCTCATGCCCGAAGCCCAAAGGCTTCTCAACTCTGAGAAACAGTGCATCTGTGGATAGCTCTGCGTACATCTGGACCAGGAGAGGGAGCTTGCCTTTCAGGGAGAGGGTCTCCTTGTGTTGCATACTAAAAAGATAAATAAGTCATCTCTGAGTGAATGCTCTGCACAGCTCAGACGTGATCAAGAAATGCAACCAATGGGAGGAGCATTGAAGAGAGGTGCAGCCAATAAGGAAAAGAATGAGGGAAATCCATTCATCCATCATCCATCCACTTACCCACCTATTAATCATCCATTCACTTACACATCAATCTATGCATCTATCATCCATCCATCTATCCACCATCTATCCGCTTACCCAGGCATGCATGAATCCATCCTCTATCCATTTATCCTTGCATCCATCTATCCATCCATCTACGCATCCTACCATGCACCCATCCTCTATCCATTTGCCCATTCATCATCATCCATCCAATTACCCATGCAGCCATCCATCCATCCAGCTTCTATCCATCTATCATCCATCCACTTATCCATCCATCTGTGCATGCATCCATGCATTCATCCAAGGTGCTGGGAATATGCAGAACACACATTGTAAGAGAGTGTGAAGTGAGTCAGCCATTAAATGATCCCATAATATACAGTGTCAGCACCTAAAAGAGAGACAAAGCAGATGAAGACAGAGTGGGTGTATTTGTTAATGGAATGAATGGGTGGAGACACCAGAGCCAAGGAGGGAATGGGTGAAGGAAGGAGCGACTGAAAGGCCAGGGACAAGGCTCTGTCTAGAGGGTGGCCCATTTAGCATACTTGAAAAAGGCAAGAGGGAAAGGTAGCTAGAGCCAGGATGGTTGGGATGAGGCAGAGAGGAAACAGAGGATTTCAAGTGAGCTGGGAGGTTCCAGAGGGTGTGACCGGAACTGCGTCCTGTTTGTAGAGGCTCAGGCTGCCAGTGATCCCTAGATGTTCAGTAGCCAAAGATTTCTGTGGGCTGAGTAGCTGCCCAGGCTTTGGTCTTTCTATCTAGGACAGATGGAGGCAAATGCCTTATCCTCAGGCCTCGATCAGCTGCCTTCCGGGACACTCCAGGCACCTGCAGCTCTCTGAACGCAAGTGCCTCTCACATACAGAATCTCCTTGTTTGCCTCAAAGCTTTGCTCCTAGCTCAGTGTCAGCAGACGTTAAACAAGAGTTGGTTCTGTGGAGTTTAGCTAGGCCAACACAAAATGGAAGCAAAGTGAAGGCTGAGTATCCTTTTTTGAAATGCTTGGGGCCAGCTGTTTGGATTTTAGGTTTGTTCAGACTTACACACATATAGTAAGAGATCTTGGGTATAGGATCAAAGTCTAAGCGTGAAATACATTTGTTTTATTCTTCCCAAAACATTATACAACATAGAGCCTGAAGGTAATTTATGTTTTAATAACTGGGTGAATAAAATAATTTTGTGGCACAGATTTCTCTACCTGCAGGATTTAGTTGGCACTCAAAAAAAAGTTGGATTTTGGATTTTCAGATTAGGGCTGCTCAACAAGTACTAGGATAAAAAGTTCAATGACGTATGAGCTACACATTAGCACTCTACCACTTTGAGCCACAGTGCCACTTCCTGTCTTCTGGTTGTTCATTGGAGATGAGTCTCATGGACCTCGCTGCCTGGGGTTGGTTTGAACTGCGATCTTCAGATCTCAGCCTCCTGAGTAGCTAGGATGACAGGCGTGAGCCACTGGCACCCATTTCTTTCTTTCTTTCTTTTTTTGTATTCTTACAAAAGGCCCTGAGAGCCCTGCTGGGCCAATGGCTTATGCTCTCCTGCAAATACTAAGGCTGGAAGGAGGCTTTTCCTTCCTAGGCTGGGAGGCCCATCATGCTCCTGGAAAAACACCATTGGATGTTGCCACAATGGCACACAGCCTTTGCCCTCACGTGGTGCTGGTGGGGACAGCGACTCTATATACTGAAGTGTCTCAAGGATAAAGCCATTGCCAAGTCCGAGACTTTGCAACAAGGTTGCTGTTAGACACACATGAGATAGTCCTTCCTTTATAATCCTTCTCTAGGGTTTGTATAAATGTAAAATGTATCCAGTAATAGTAGAAATGTTAGTAATCCTAGACATTATGATGATTAACTACTAAAATCATGTTTATTTTTTTAAAATGAGAATAATAGCATGGAAAATTCCCAATAAAACTTTAAAGTAGCTACATACCATGACAATTATTGTCAATTCCAAGTAAAACTATAGGAGTTGGAGGCAGTTGGTAGAGTGCTAGCCAATAAGCAAAAGTGGCAGGTACTGAGTTCAAGTATCATCTTGGACAAGAAAAAAAGTAAAAGTATATATTGAAAGAAAATTTAAAAAAAATGGATTTTGAGGGGCTGGGAAGGTGGCTCAGTGGTAGAGCGCTTGCCTTGCAATGCATGAGGCCTTGGGTTCGATTCCTCAGCACCACATAAGCAAAAAGAAAAAAGCCGGAAGTGGCACTGTAGCTCAAGTGGTAGAGCGCTCGCCTTGAGCTGAAGAGCT